CTACTGCTGCAAAAGCAAAACACTTTATTTTGGTTACTTCATTGGGAACAAACAAGTTTGGATTTCCAGCTGCTATATTGAAGTGAGTTCAAACTTCAATTTTCTTGACTATTTTACTATCTGAAATTCTGAAATTATGCTTACAATGATGATAATTCTATTTATGTTTAAAGTTTATTCTGGGGAGTTTTATGCTGGAAAAGAAAGGCTGAAGAAGCACTTCTTGCTAGTGGGATTCCTTACACTGTGAGTTACATTACATCTTACATCATTACCTAAACACATAAAAAAACTATATATATATATATATATATATATTTTTAATAAATTTCAGATAGTGAGACCTGGTGGAATGGAGCGCCCTACAGATTCCTTCAAGGAAACACATAATCTTACACTCTCTCTTGAAGATACTTTATTCGGTGGTTTAGTATCAAATCTTCAGGTTCTTTTTAAAAGCTCGATTGAATTTTTTATATATGTTTTTGAATCTTTATATTTTTTTAATATAAAACCAAGATTTGTGTTATATATTGATATTAGGTGGCAGAACTCCTTGCATTTATGGCAAGAAACCCAAGTCTCTCATATTGTAAAGTAGTGGAAGTGGTTGCAGAAACAACTGCACCATTGACTCCCATGGCTGACCTCCTAACAAAAATACCACCTCAACGTGCTATACCTTACAAACCAAAGGTACATACATAATACATTTACTTAAGCCAAAAATTAAAATGGTTTTTTGTTTTTTTCCTAAACTTTTTTTTTGGTCAAACTTGTTTACTTATCTTTTATAACATTATCAGGAGCCAGAAGCTGTTAAAGTGTCTGAGCCTGTTAAGAGCATGAGTTCTGAGAGTTCAAGTGTTGCCATTGAGTCAAAAACAGCTCCACCAAGGCCACTCTCCCCATATACAGCGTAAGCCATGTTCATTAATAATTTAATATTATTAATAACATTATTAGTAACATGACCAAAATTTGAGTTTGCAAATTTAATTTAATTTGTGAAATTGGTTTATGAATAGTCCCCACTAGAGAAAAAAACATTTCATTTGGCAATTTTTTGGTGAGATTGCTCTTATTTTGTGGAAAAAACTAGGAAGCATATAATACTATTGTATCTTCATTGAGAACATAGGACAATTTGAAGAAAAAACCTAAAATTCTATGAAAAGGACGATTGAAACTACCTTATCCTTATAAGAATTGGTTAATCTCATAAAAAAAACTTATATTTTGTTTTTTTTTTTTTTGGATTAAACCCCAACTTTATTTTTTGACTGAAAAAGACCTTGTATTTTTTTCATTTTTCAAAAGAAGTCCTCAACTTTGTATTTTTTTTTTCTGAAAAATAACACCAACCTTCTAAATGCTTCCAAATAAACCCTCAATTTTTTTAGATTTTCTTGAAAAAACCCTCACATTTTCCAATTTCTTTTTGAAAAAAATGACTAAATGGGTCATCGGAAAAAATGAAAAAATACAAGGTCTTTTTCGGACAAAAAATAAATTTGAGGTTTAATACGGAAAAAAACACAGAATATAAGGTCTTTTATGGGGTTAACATAAAACTATTGTACCTTCCATAATATTATTTATATTAAATTCTATCAAATATAACCATGTGTAGACTCTTTATTGTTGATAGTACTAATTACTGTCACAGTTATGAAGGTTTGAAACCCCCGGTATCCCCGATTCCTACGCCACCTGGCGGCAATAAGGTGGTGGTAGAAGCAGTAACAACCACTACTCCTCCCACTGATACTGAAACTGAAACCAGCACAAAAGTGGAAACCATAGCTATTACAGATGAACCTGCAGCACAAGTGGCTGTAGAAGTGCCAAAAACTAGGCCTCTCTCTCCTTATGCTGCGTAAGTGAAGATCGTCATATTTTCATATGTATTTTTTTATATTTCTTATAAGCATCAAAAAAAAAAAAAATCAATAACAAATATCGGGCTTGTTTTCTAATGAATTTATTTTAGGGATAATGACTTAAAAGGGTAATATATTTTTCGATTTGTATATATTTGGTCACTGTTTTTTTTTTTCGTCTACATTTGGCCCTTCAACTTGTTTAACTGTACATATTCAGTCCTTATGACCGGCTACTCCAAGTAAACTGAAAAAAAATGACTTAATAGGGTAATATATTTCTCAGTTTGTACACATTTAGTCCTTAATATTTTTTTGCACATTTAGTCCTTAATATTTTTTATTGCAAAATAAGTCATTGTTGTTTTTGTACACATTCAGTACTTATGACCGGTTTCTTTAGTTTTTTCTCATGCCATCCTACGTGGGACAATTATTAATGAGGTGTTCGGGGCTGTTGATGCTTATGGTCACGGTGACCTTAGTTGCTTGGTTTCTTAAGTTTTGTATACTGAACATCATAATTTCTTTATACAATCTTAGATTTTAACGATCTTTATATCCACGCATTCGTATTTAAGTCTACTGCAACTTTCGTTTAGATTACTCTCGTTAAAAATTAATATATTTTTACTTACGATCTTTATATACATGCGTTCTTTATGAATGTATGTATGAACATTTTTTTGTAAAATCATAAGCAAAAATATATATTACTTTTTAATGAGAGTAATCTAAACAAAAATAGTTGTAGACTCAAATATGAACGCGTAGATATAAAGATCATTAAAATCCGAGATCGTATGAAGAAGTTACGACATTCAGAACACAAAACCTAAGCACTAAGCAATCGAGACCACAACAACCATAAGCATGAACAACCACGAACACCTCACTAATGATTGTCCTATATAGAATGTTGTGAGAAAAAGCCTAAAGAAACCATTCATAAGTATTGAATGTGTATAAAAACAACAAGGACTTATTTTTCAACAAAAATATTAATGACTAAATATGCAAAAAATATTAAGGACTAAATGTGTACAAAGTGAGAAATATATTACCATATTAAGTCATTTTTCCGGTTTATCTGGAGTAGTCGGTCATAAGGACTGAATGTTACAGTTAAACAAGTTGAAGGGCCAAATGTGAAAGAAAAAAACTCAGTGACTAAATGTGTACAAATTGAAAAGTATATTACCCTTTTAAGTCATTATCCCTTTATTTTACATATGTATATTTTTTATAATTTAAAAAGTAATAAAAGTTTTTATTCATTGACAGTTACGAGAATCTGAAGCCACCAACCTCTCCGACCCCAACACCAAGCGGATCCAAACAGGCACCATCTTCTTCCTCTCCACCATCAGAAGTTGCACCATCTTCTTCCTCTCCACCACCAGAAGTTGCATCAGAATCCACCACGGTCGTTTTCACCTTTGAAAACATTGAAGTCAAAGAGGATCCTCCTCAAACTTTGACTTCCGGAAATTCACCTTACCTTGTGTAAGTTTTATAGTTAAAAAAAACAATTTATATTTTATTACATTACGCATCTTCAATTTACAGTAATAATTTGAGGGGTATATTGTAATATTGTATATAGATATGACAATCTGAAACCCCCTACATCGCCATCACCTTCTTCAAGCTCCCCATTGGTGTCTCTACCAACAACTGCGGTGTTTCCACCACCGGCTGCCGCCACAGACAACGGGTCTCCGGTTGCCTCGTCGCCAGAAAACACCTTTGATGTCACAACGGTGAAGCCAAGGCCACTTTCGCCTTATGCTATGTATGTTTTTTCCTTGATTTTTTTTATTATTTTTATTTTTTTCCTCTATGTAAAAAATAATGGTTTGGGTCAATTTTTTCTTTTTGTAGGTATGAAAGCTTAAAGCCTCCAACTTCTCCAATTCCTTCCACCCCTCAGTAAATGATCTTGGACAAGTATATATATGATATATATGTATAGTAGATCCGGAATGTAAAAGAGCTTTGAGGCATGTTTAGGCAAACCATCGAATTTCACCCCATTCTTTTTTAAATTGTAATATTGAAATCGGTTCCAATATGATCAAAGTCTGAAACTATACAATTGTTACATTCATTAAGTTATAATTTGTGTGCAATTTCATCACAAAGTTAAAGATAAAATTGATTGGAGTACAAATGGCAAACTCGTTAATTACCTTGTGAGAGTTAAGTTTGTTACAGTTAGGGGTCGTTTGATAGTTGCTGACTGGTTAGAAGCTGACTGGGTTAGAAATTCTGACCAAGTCCATGAAAGTAATTGATTAGCAATGTGGTCACGTAAAGTAGTCATATACTCAACGACTTCTGAACCCCCTTTTATGCTTTGAATGTTTCTGCCCTCACTTCCTCTATCTTGCACGTCAATATTCTGTTCAAAGTTCGTAAATAAGTCATCTTGAATATTGTATTTCCTTATAAAACTATGGACCACATCACAAATTATGTCTCTTTGCACTGAAAAATGATAAGAAACCCTTATTTCTCATGAGTTCAGTTAGTTAAGCGTGTTAGTTCATTTCTTGTGCATAAATAGAATGCAATAGTGTTCTATCAAGTTAATCGAGAATTTCATTTATCTTCTTCCTTGGTATTTACATGGTATCAAGGAAGAGGTTGCTTCCATCCTCAAATTAGAACTGTAAGTTATTTCTTTGATTGTTTCTTCATGAATCAATAGATGTTGCCTTCCGATACATCATGCATCCTGTTAACCTCAAACTCTCATACTCTAGCTGAGTCACCACTACTCAGGCCAAAATTCACATCAAGTTTCACATTCGAATCAAATAATATTAAAATTTTCATATTCGTAAAGAAATTATGAATCTCAACCAGAATCAAGAACGATAATTCAAATTCAATTTAAATCTTATTTTAGTGATTGCTCTCACCAAGAAATAAAAGAAGCTATGATATCATATTACATAAAAGAGTGAAACCAAGAAAGAAAAAAAAATGAAATTCTTGATTAACTTTAATAGAACCCTATAACAAACTTAACGTGGGGCAACAAATTCTATAGGACAGGGGTCGAATTGTAACTATATCGTAATTGGAAAGCTAGGGCGTAAAGGTTTAATCGCAGTCAATTGGAAACTTGAAAGGACCTTTTAGGGTTTTTCCTTCATGGATGAAACGGAGAACCTGTCGGAAGCCAAGAGAACCACCGTCGGGCCGCCGTCCGTGTTGGAGTACCTGGACCCCAACTACTGGTTTGTCATTTATGAACTTGTTTCCATCAAGCTCCACGTTAAATTATACCTCTTATTCGTTTGAATCAGTAGAACAGTTACATGATCAAGTATAATCCCCTCATTTTTCTTCGAATATGTATCCCTTTAATCGAATTCTGATTGCAAAACTAGAAACTGGATTTATTATATACTCTTCTGATGTTTTTTAGTAATACTGGATTGATTATCATTAGGAATGAGAGGTTTACTTCTGAAGACCATTACGAATGGCTCAAAGATTACTCCCATTTTCGTCATCTCATTCAGCAGCATATCAAACCTTCTTCTTCTGTACGTTTCCCTCTCTTTATTAAATACAATAATGATTGAACATGTGATTAAAGTGTGTATAATCAATAATGCTACAGGTATTGGAACTGGGGTGTGGAAACTCACAACTATCTGACGAATTATACAAAGAAGGAATCACCAAGCTAACCTGCATCGATCTGTCTTCAGTTGCAGTTGAGAAGAAGAAGAAACAGTTGTTGTCCAAAGGCTACAAAGGTTTGTTTATTGTATTAATTCAAGTTTGTATGAAAATGTATCCCCCCTTTTCGCATTCATCCTTAATTTGATAGAAAAAAATATAATTGATACAATTATGAAAGTATATATAGTTTGGTTATAGCTTTATGTTTGCAGATATCAAGGTCTTGGAAGGCGACATGCTGAACCTTTCATTTGATGATGAGTCATTTGATGTTGTTATAGAGAAAGGAACAATGGTAAAACTAAAAAATTCACAAAAAAACTAAATGCATAATTTCACTTGCTATAAAATCGCCAAATTTTCATTTTCATCCATAAAGTATTGACAAATCAAATTTATACAAAACTTGAAGGATGTTTTGTTCGTGGACAGTGGCGACCCATGGAACCCAAAGCCTGAAGTTGTAAAAAAAGCAATGGCAATGCTTCGAGGTGTTCACAGGGTTTTGAAACGCGATGGGATTTTTATTTCAATCGCTTTTGGTCAGGTACGAGACATTAATATCATCAGATATAACAATATGTCTCATGATTATGAGGCTCTTGAAAATTAATTGGCGATTTTAATGTCTTGTAGCCACATTTTAGACGCCCGTTGTTTAATTCTTCTGAGTTTACATGGTCCGTTGAGTACACTACGTTTGGCGATGGGTTTCATTATTTCTTTTACATTTTGAGGAAGGTTAAGTTTCATACTTGTTCCATTTTAGTACCTCAACTTTCAATTTTGTTTCATTGGTATGAAAATTTTGTATTATTTATTTATTTATTTATTATTATTTTTTTGTTTTAAAGGGATGTAGATTGTTGAACGTGGATGAAGATGTGAAGAAGGTTGATGCACATTGTCTTGACCTTTATCAAGATGAATTGGAGGATGAAGATTACTTGTTTCGTACCAATATTGATGACGTGGATGATGACAGATGACAATATACTTTGAGTTTACCTATTTTTTAGGTGTGGTTTGTAACGGGTGTTAATTAGGATGAAAGAGGACCATAATCAGAAAAAGTATTTGTATATGGATAATTCATTGAATCTTTAATTAAAAAAAAGATAATTCTTTAAATAAATTGTAAATAAACATATTTCATTTTGCTCAAAATACATGTTATATGTTTTCCGAATAGCTAAAAAAGAATAATCTATCATCTAAAAGGTTACAGAAAAAAAAAAAAAAAACTAGATACGTTGAAAATATGAAATCTTAAGTTATAATTATAATAAACATAATTTGTAATTACAATATACTTTTTTGTTGAAAATTATATAAATAAAGGTAATTTATGATTGTAGTATATTTTATTTCATTGCCTGAAAGAATGAAAGAAAAAAAAAGCAGTCTTTTTAAAAAGAAGAAAGCGTACATTCTATAATGAATTTTCAATTTTATTCTTTCATGTCAACCAAACAAAGACTATTTCATTTTCATTCTCTTTTTGATTACTACATGCTTACACAATCCACCCTCGAGCTATAGGTTTTTCAAAACAAAAAAACATCTGCATGCACTCACTCCATAAAAGTCTAAAAAATTATTACATTAACATTCAATATTCTATTCTTAATATACATATCATCTTATTTTTAATATACATAATTTATTTTTTATTGTTTAATATTTTTATGAATAATTAATATTACATTAAATCCAAAATTATCTTTACTAAAAATAAAAATTTGTATTTACATTACATAAAGTAAACAAAAAAGGTGGAAAAAAACTGGTTTGTCTTTAACCCGCTTATAACTTACAATTCGTCTTGAGCCCAAAACTAAAATTCTAAACTGGGCCATGTTTAACCGGTCATGGAATTGGCCATAAAAAGAATAACGTGTATAACTTGACATTTTGGTCACTTTTAACCTATTTTTTAAATTTTATAAATAGAACTTCTAAATCACGAGATATTTTTCTAACTGTTTGATGTTGAAAAAAAAAACAATATGTGTTCAAATGGATGGAACATAATAGGAACAAAAGAGTATTTAAAGTATTCGAATACTTTATTGAAGCCAAACAATCAAAGATCTTTGATGGTGATATAATATTTTGATCATTTGGTATGAAATAATATGAAATGTAGTTTTTCGACAAGTTTGATTTTGTGTTGTTTGAAAAAAAAAAAAAAACATAAAAAACATCATAGAAATGATATATCATATATATTTAGTGTTAATGGATTTGACAGTAAAAATAAAGAAAACGTAAACGCTAGAAGGAGGGGTTGAACCTCCGACCTTGTGGTTAACAGCCACACGCTCTAACCAACTGAGCTATTCCAGCTTTGTGTCTTACAAGTAGTTTTATCATAATTTGAAGTGTGCAACAGAAAAAGTAATCACTGAAATTAAAATTTTTAGTTTGAGAATTTATGTGATTAACCTTTTTTAAAACTTATTATTTTTGTTATGATTTTTTAATTTATTTTTCCCTAACAAAAATATTTTGTCATAAATAGTTTATATATATAT